AAACGGCGCCGCGATGAAGGCTCGCTCACAGGCAAACCACTTGTTGGTGGTTCTAAAGCAGTAACAGGTGACAATGCCTTTACCGAGGTCCTTACTGTCCCTGAACCCACCGAGCTGTTTTGGCTGTACCTTTCTCGTATTCATCCTAGCGTGAAATCGGAATCAATCGAGAAGCTGGTGAAAGGTTGTGTACAGTGCGAAGATCCGATTAAGGTTGTGCCGCTAGTCAAAAAAGGATCCGACATCAGCCGTATGAGCTTCATCTCGTACAAAGTCGGAATGGATCCCAAACTACGCGAAGCTGCTCTTAGATCGGATACATGGCCGAAAGGAATTTTGTTCCGTGAATTTGAAGACGGTTCAAAAAACATGTGGTTGCCTCGTTTGAACACGCCTACCATCACGATCTCTCATATTACGGGACCTTCCGAGTTCTCAACTCCCATTTCCGGACTAGACCCAGTCTGCTGATTCAGAATTGGATTTGGCGTTGTGAATCGGAGCGCTGTAGACCAGAAACCACTCGATCCAGTCGCGCTAGCTGTTTCCCGCCAACAAAGTCGTTCTATTTCCTGCCATCAGAGTCGTTCTGGCCCTGCGGTCGAGTTCGGTGGTGGGGTCTCCCAAGCATCGTCTTCAGGCAAGTATGCATACATTAGTTACAGTCATTTGCCTGATCAGTTTCCGTGTTCCAGTGCAACGCTTCAAGCACCTGCCGGCTGTTTCCAGTTGAGAAGCACTTCTGATACTGCTTATTCACAACATCCGCTTTACTGTTCGAACAATCCTAATTCATCTCCGGGACGCACAATAGACCGCTCTTTGGAAGCTCCTGGTTAATCCAGCCCAGTCGTGCCGATTCCCGCCAGCGTTCAGCATAGTCGTCCTGGACCTGTGGCTGGATATGAATCAGGAGTCTTCCACCTTGCCTCTGCAAGCAAGTACAATCAATATATTAACTATTCACTGCCTGATGCCGATCAAATTTTCAGCAATTCTAACTATGTTAGTCATTGTGATGATGCCTCTGCAACTCCTAATCCTGGAAACCCGGAACGCGCCGTAGAAAGCCCCATGGAAGCCCCCAATCCCTCCGTCTCAGTCCTGCCATCAGCAGCCTTCGTTCATCATAGTCGTTCCGGACCCGCTGTCGGATGCGGAGAGGGGGTCTTCCAACCCACTCACTATGGCGAGTATCCAATGAGACTTGATGATGGTCAGTTATTGCCTGATGTATCTGTGATTTCCAGGGAGAGCAGTCGTTCGATTCCTTGCCGCAAGCAGGACGTCGTGATCCTCTACCAAAACGCCGGTGTAATGAATTCTGATGTTGAAGAGTACCGCCTAGCTGTATCGGATCGTTGCTACGATATTATTGTACTGTGCGAAACGTGGCTCGATTATCGAACGCTTTCCATTCAAGTCTTCGGTCCTGACTACGAGGTCTTTCGTTGCGATCGGAATCCTAACAACAGCCGTAAATCTACTGGTGGAGGTGTCCTTGCAGCTGTCCGTAGCGGGTTGGAGGCAAAGGCCATCGAGAACGATTCATGGAACAATGTGGAGCAGGTTTGGACAGCCATCAATCTGGGTGATCGCACACTATTTCTATGCGCTCTGTACATTCCACCTGATTGAGTCCGCGACAATAAACTCATCGATACTCACTGTCGGTTAGTTTTCACAGTTGTCGAAAGTTCCACTCCAGTTGATGAGATATTCATTTTTGGTGACTTCAATCTGCCAGGCGTTTCGTGGAGTCCATCTCATAGCGGATTCCTGTATCCAGATCCTGATAGCTCTACATTTCACGCAGGAGCTATTAGCCTTCTCGACAACTACAGCGCAGCGACGCTTTCTCAAATTAACCATGTAGTTAATGAAAATGGTCGTAGTTTGGACCTCTGCTTCGTGAGCACACAGGACAGGGCTCCATCAATTTCCTCGGCTCCTTGTGCACTAACTAAGCTAGTTCCACATCACCCTCCTCTAATTGTCACTGTTGAGGACAAACTCGTGCGTGATTTCGGCGACTATACTGCTACGGTTTCTTATGACTTCCGTAAAGCTGACCACCGTAGCATCATAGATGTGTTGTCTAGCATGGTATGGGAGAACATCCTTGATCCAGATGACGTTGAGGCTGCAGCGCAAACGTTTTCACATGTCTTGGCATATGTCATTGACAGACACGTCCCGAAAAGAACTCACCACAAAGTGTCTCACGCTCCCTGGCAGACGAGAGAGCTACGTAGGTTGAAGTCAATCAAGAGAGCAGCATTGAGAAGATTTACGAAGTATCGCACGCTTCCTCTGAAACTACATTATGTGAGGCTAAATCACATGTACCAGCGAGTCAGTCGTGAATGCTTTTCAAGTTTCCAACGAGGTATCCAGCGCAAACTTAAGCTACACCCGAAATCCTTTTGGAACTACGTGAACGAGCAACGCAGGGAATCCGGCCTCCCATCGTCTATGGAATTCAACGGAGAAGTTGCTGCCACTGTTCAGGATATATGCCACCTTTTTTCCGAAAAGTTTGCCAGTGTCTAATGAGACACTAACTGACGACCATATTAACCTGGCTGCCAGGAACGTTCCAGTAAACGATCAAACGCTGGGTGCAATTGATGTTAATGCAGAAATGATTTCTAAGGCCGCGACTCTGCTCAAGTCATCCTTCAATCCTGGACCTGATGGAGTTCCATCTGTATTTTTGAAGAGACATATTGCTAGCTTGTTAATTCCGCTTCTTCGCCTGTTCCGAATATCTCTCTCAGGTGGCATATTTCCATCTTGCTGGAAATTTGCGCACATGTTTCCCGTCCACAAAAAAGGAAGGAAACGAGCTGTGGATAACTATCGAGGAATTACATCGTTAAGTGCCGTTTCGAAGCTATTCGAGCTAGTGATTATGGAACCGTTGCTGTCCCATTGCAAGCAGTATTTGAGTGCTGATCAACATGGGTTTACTGTCGGCCGCTCTTCAACTACCAATCTGCTGTGTTTCACATCGTATATAACCGAAAGCATGTCGGATCGGGTTCAAACGGACGTTATTTATTCAGACCTATCCGCAGCATTCGACAAGTTGAACCATGCTATTGCGATTGCTAAACTCGGCAGGCTCGGTGTATGCGGTAATCTTCTGAGTTGGTTTCGATCATATCTTACCGGTCGGCAATTAAAAGTTGCCATAGGAGATTGCAGATCAGCTAGCTTCTTCGCCACATCAGGTATACCTCAGGGAAGCCACATGGGACCGTTAATTTTTATACTGTACTTCAACGACGTGCATCTGGTCATCGAAGCTCCTCGGTTATCATATGCAGATGACCTCAAAATCTCCCTACCAATCTGCTCCATTGCTGACTGTCACTTTCTTCAACGTCAACTGAATGTATTTGCTAGTTGGTGCAGGTTAAACAGAATGGTAGTGAACCCAGCCAAATGCTCCGCTATTACGTTCTCACGAAAACAACAACCGATAATATTTAGCTATGATCTGCTTGGCTCGACAATCGAACGCGTGAATCAGGTGAAAGACTTGGGTGTGATCTTGGATTCGCAGCTTTCATTCAAGCAACACATTGCATATGTTGTTGATAAGGCGTCAAGAACTTTAGGGTTCATTTTTAGGATAGCTAAAAACTTCACTGATATCTACTGTCTAAAATCTCTCTATTGTTCGCTTGTTCGATCGACGCTTGAGTATTGTTCAGCGGTTTGGAACCCAAACTACAACAACGGTGCCGAGAGAATTGAATCTGTTCAACGTCGCTTTCTTCGTTTTGCGTTGCGTAGATTGCCTTGGAATGATCCGTTGCGATTACCAAGTTACGAAAGCCGTTGTCAACTTATCGACCTTGAACTTCTCCGGACTAGAAGAGACACAAGCAGAGCCCTAACCGTGGCCGATATCGTACAAGGAAGGACAGATTGTGAGGCTATCCTGAGGCAAATTGACCTGAATGTTCAACCCCGACCGCTTCGTAATAACCTTATGCTAAGACTGCCTCTACGTCGCACAAATTATGGAGCGTACGGTGCGATTTGCGGACTGCAGAGAACATTCAACAGAGTTGCATCTGTTTTCGACTTTCATCTTTCCCGTGATGCGCTTCGTCGAAAGTTTTCTTCTGTTTTTCGCCGGCAGGAGTTAAGATATTGACTATAAGATATACGTTTTTTAATGTTTTTCATGTTATGACCATGCTTGAATGTATTTTTTTACCATAGTTGATAAGGTTTAAATCATTGGGGCTTCATCCAGCCTGTTGATGTAAAATGACAATAAATAAATAAATAAGTGCAAAAGTATGGTTGAGCTGTTATCTTAATACTTTGGACGACGACCTTCTCGAACAGATGAACGCCAGTGAGTGCGGACGACAGCTTCAATCGTGGGATTGAGGTTTGCTTTCGCTTCTTCTCTTCGAGTGGATTTCGCTACTCTAGATTTCGCTGTAAGGAAGGATGCTGTGAATCTACCATCGAACGACGTGCACCGGTGATAGATACAGGTACCGTATGCCTTCTCGTAGGCATCGCAAAACATAGTTCAGTGGAGATGGTATCGCTTCCAAAGGCGACCCAACGAGGGACTTACAGCTGACTCAATCCTTCCAAGCTATCTCGAAATTCTCGCCACCAGGTTTGAACCTCATCGGGAAGGGTTTCATTCCAGGAACACTTTGTCACACCTTGGCTTGGACTAACGTGGGTCCAACCAGGCGAGCTTTGCGAAAACGGACAATATGATCCTCTTGTTATTCTCAATAGCAGGATTCCACTGAGGTACAGTGAATCTGAACACGTCCGATCGAGGTTACAGGAATTTCCAGAAAAAATGGGCATGTGATTTTTATTGGATTTCAGCGGGAGGCATCGAAAGCTTTCAGAGAAATTCTAGTAAGGCTGAAGGGTTTACTGAACTAAAATCGTCCGTTTTCCTCACTTAAAATCAAGAAATAACCCACCAATCTCCTTCTATTTTCCAGAAAATCCATGCGTCGCATCAAACTGATGCGCGACTCCATCCTGAAGCGGCGTGTTCGTGCGGACGAAGTGGTCGTCAAGGGTCCATCTCGCGAACTGTCCCGCCTGATGCAGGCATCGACCAACGGCACCTCGCAGGACGGCACCGTGGCATCTGGCATGCCGGAGCACGACGAAGCAGCGGCCACCCGAGCCTGGATGGAGAACATGGAGCACTTTGACCAGGGACCGATGTGTTCGTACTGCGGAAAGACGTTCGATCGCAAGGCCGTACTCAGCACCCACATGCAGACCTGTGTGCACAAGCTACGGCAAACGGAGAACGGATCGGTTCCACCCGCTTCCTCGGCGTCATCCAATAGCAGTAGCCGGAGGAGCAAGGTGAAGGAAGAAGCTTCGCCACCGTCGGTTGTGGCACCGAAAATCAAACAGGAACCGGCCGATCCGGTGGCCAGTGATGACTCGAATTCCTATGATGTGCCGTTGTCGACACTGCAGGCGCGTATCAGCCAAGAGGGGAAGGAGAATGTGCTGACGATCAAGCCGGAAGAGCTGGCAATGCAGGAGGACGGGGAAACGAGCAACCGGCGCAAGAGGAAGAAGCCAATGATTATGCTGCGCAATGCGAGTGACGATATTAGCTGGGAAACGGACGAGGTGGTGGATCAGAGCGTGGTAGTTGCGACTGAGGAGATCGTTGCAAGTGTTGTTCAAATCAAGCAGGAAGTTGTCGAGGGAGGTGACACGGAAACATTGAAGACTAAAAAGGCTCCGAGGAATCGAAAAAAGAAGACCGATGAGAAGGACGAGACCATCGAAAAGGAAATGTTCGAGAAGCTAGAGTCGGGAGAGGAGATACTCTGTCGGTGTTTGAAGAAGTACAATGATCCTGAAAAGTACAAACGACACTTGAGGGTGTTCCATAGTCGGCAGAGGCGGTTCTGGTGCGCCGTTTGTGATTTCAAAGGTTACCGAAAAGTGGACACCATCAATCATTTGATGCAGGTAAATGGTCATGCTTCTATCAAATTTATCTCCGTTACCACATTTTCTTACCCCAATCTTTCAGGAACACGGATATCAAGGAGACGTTGAAGACATTAGCTCATTGATCAACTTCCAAGTGGTGGAAAAGGAAAAGAAAACTATACCTGAACCCTCTTCGAACGCCACCGAGCCGATCAACTCGATCATCGAGGCTGTGAGTAGAAACTGTGATACCAGCCGGACGGACATATCCTTCGTGGAGTCCCCGGCTAGCAATACCACCGCGCTGCTGCTGCTGGGCACTACTACAGTGTCGACGGCAAGTGTGACGCTTAATGAAAGTACCACCAGAGTGCCAAGTCCCGAGCCTAAGAAGCGGAGAAGACTTATCAGAGCTTCCCGCAATTCCATATGCTTGATGCCTCCGGAATCCGATTTCAACCGAAAGCCCAAACCCAGCGAAGATCCACCTGAAGACAGTGCTAGCCCTAGCTTGAAGCGACCCATTCGGAACCGCGTGAAACCCGTAGAAAAGGATTTCGTGTACGACCTCACGCATCTCCTTCACAAGGAGGAAGATCTCGATGATTTCCCGCTGCCGGAACTAGTCCTCGATAAGCCATCGCCTTCGACTAAACCCAAATCCGAATCCAGTCGACCGTCCTCCCAGAACGCCAGCTCACCCAGCAAGAGAGAATCGCTACGATCGCACGTTCCAAAACCCATCGCAGCGCACCTAGTCAAGGGGGCCGCCTACCAGATGGCACAGCGCCAGGTTGAGCTTGGCCATGCTGCTTTCCACCGGCCGCCGGACGTTCCCCAAGAGCGCACCTTCATTCCCACCCAAGTGACCCCTCCCCGCCGAATCACCACCATCCACGATTGGCCGGTGATCAAGAAAGAGCGCAAAATCGGGTCCATCACCAAGCAGCACTCCGACATCCAGATCAAGCGTCGTTACACGAAACGTGCCTCGTCCATCGCCAGCTCGTTGCTTCCGGAGCTGATTCGCGAAAAGCGCAAAACCATCCCCCGCCGGAACAGCGTTGTTCCCCTCCGGCAGAAGCTTTCCGCTTCCATCGAGATTCTCAACAAACTAAACGCATCGCGGTCGGCTGCCGGACTGGCCGTGGTCCAGATGACCGATATCCCCGTGATGGTGAAGTGCCCTACCGAGGTGGAGTTTCGGCGAATGATCGAGGCTAACTTGAAGGATCACCGGGCCACGCTGTCGCAGGCCAACCCGAACGGATCGACCGTGGAGGATTTGAGTGATTCGGCCGCCGATTCGCCGAAGAAACGCATTACTCTGATGCAGCGACTGCAGGAGAACCGGACCAAGCGGATGCAGGTAATTCAATTCGGATGGCTTTTCACTTAATGATGTTCGAGGGCGGATTCAGATTGATTTCAATTGCGGTACGGATTTCGGTTCCCACGGTTTTTTTCGATGGCGTAATTTTTAATTCATATTTACACATGACTTGGGTTATGCGAAGAGTGAGGCAGCTAAGTTAACCTCAGAAGCCTTACTTTTTGGTATTGAGCTGAATCCGGTGGTATTGGATCTCAAGACACTGTTAACGACAGAAGTATTTATTTCGTTATATAAAATTTACGATCCTATTACAGAACTTGTCTAGTCTATTTCCTCGAATGTCCCTTTAATCATAGGAAAATGTTAGCATTAGTCGAGCGAAATGTGAATGGAAATTATCACTGAGCATTCATAAGAGCCTAAGTCTGAGGCAAAGTTGTATATAGGAAACTGGATAACCTTTAAAAAATAAACATACCGTAAAACGGAGTGACATTGGGCCAGGAGGTGATTGAAAATTATGACTAAAATATGTTTCTTGAACTCCTGGAGTAAAGTGCAGATAACATTAGCCTGTTTTATTTAAATAGTGCGGTAAAGTTAGTAGCAAAATCACGTTTTTGAAAATGTCCACAGGCAGATATTTTAACCAAATTTATGTTTTGACCCGATAAGGTTTTACATTGGTCTATTTTTTTTATTTAATTTTATTAAATTCAAGATATCAATTTCAATCAATTAATTCCATGACAGTCGTAAATACAGTCACCGCAGTATTATGGGCCACTTCCATTTGATTAACACGTAGAACTGAGTGACCCATAATAGTGATTAGCTGGCCCATAATACTGGGGTGACTGTATATCATTGATAAACATATTCGCATGCTTAAAATTGATTTCCTTGCTAAAATGTGAATGTTGTAAGGTAAGAAACGACAGATATTTTGGCCCAATGTCACCCCCATTTACGGTACTGACTATTTAATGGTAGATTGATAAACATGTGACGGAGTCGGACTGAAATGACATTTATTTTAATAACACATTGCGAAAGCCCGAGGGAACCCATTTCAATTGTTAAATATGCAGAGCGATTGTCAATCGGGATTTTCTTTCAAATCAACAAACACACATTTCAAATCATGTCACTTCTTGCAAACATCTAAATTAACACATCGCCTACGTTTGCCTTTACTTGCAGGAGCAAAACGGAACCTCGCCGACGAAGGAAAAGCCGACACCGCCACCGACGCCGCCATCCCAACCGGCCGGCGAACCATCTTCCCCTAGCAGTGCTTCCAAATCGGTTCCAAACGTCGCCGAAATGCTGCATGCCAAACTGAAACGGTTTTCCTCGTTTTAATTACTTTAGAACCCTTCTGTTACCTTAAGGTATTTTAAGGTTTTCCTTTTCCTCGGTATTCGTTACAAAACTGAAACTTACCGCCCTTGAATTTGTGTTCCATCTTAAAGCATTTAGTCGCCCCGTCGCCTCCGTGTTATTCGATGTTCCATCGTGTTACCTTGTAGGATTTTAATTTGTGCGCCGTTTGTATTTCCAACTTCCAACACTACTACATAGGCATTCGGGATGCGGAACTGCGCTGGCTCTATTTTTAAGTACTTGATTGATACCAACTAGCAATAGCTTTGACTAAGTTTTTATTTTGTGATTTAACTAGTAGTATACGTAGGCTAATCCTTTTTGAACGGAAATGTTACAAAACACACAACAAAGACATTTACTGAGAAGTGGAATCTAGTTTGAGGCCTGACCATGATAGCATGTATGTACTGTTTAGCGGTTCGAATAGTTAATAGACAAATCTTCCCTATGTGTAAATAAACAGAAAAAGACAAATTTATAAACAGCACTTCCTAATTTTCCTTTTTGTTCCCCGAATCTATATCACCGCCGTCGCTCTTCTCGCGCTCATTTGCGTCGTCATTTCCCTTCTCCTCTTCCCTAGCTGCTTGCTCCAATGCGTCATCACCATCTTCCTCTTCCGCGTCCGAGTCCTTGGCCTTGGTCTTCTTCGTAGCAGATTTCACATCTTTCCGCTCCATTCTCTCGTACAGTTTGCCCTGGGTCTTCTCCAAATAGCTCGGCAGCCAGAATACCGCTTGGACCAACCTGCAATATGATCCGCTAGAAGTATGAATTCTCACAACATTTAGGATACCACCGTGTTACCGAAACAGGACCCAACCGGAAAACACCAAACATAGCACCGTACCGGATGTTTGCACCATCGCGGAATAGTCCGGAACCACCTGTTGATGCCTCATCGTGATAGCCCAACGGTGTCTAATTGGTTTCGCTCGAAATTTAGCGCAACGGTATTGCTTCAAACCTAATTCAAACTATCAATCAATCTTCAGCCAGTGGTAACAGATAGTAGCTATTTGGCACCACGTCATTCGGTGAGCATTAAAGCAAACGTTTGCGTGATTCTGTGGTGGATAATGTATGTTGTGATTTTATGGTTTCCAAGGATACGATGTGTCCAATAGATATGGGAGACGGCGCCGGTGGTGTAGTGATAAGCGCGACTGCTTTCTCACCCCAGTTTGTCTGAGTTCAATCCCAGCGGAGGACGTTGTGAGGCGAAAATTGTCTGGACACTTTTTCCTTCGGAAGGATTGGTCCCGGCCCATGTGTTGGGTACGATACCCGAGCAAAGTCTGAGATCAAATTGAAATCTAAATTTGATGTTGTGATTTCGCTGATAATGATTACTCATGTTGCTGTCGTTTTGGTCGCTTTAACGGTTAAAATATCAAAATTATTGAGAGTAAAAATATCTTCCTGTGACATCACATTGAAAACTAATTCTGCTATCAGTGAGAGCAAACTGTAAACCAAATTTTATATCCATTTTTCCTGTTGATAGCAAAACAAGTATTCAATTTGATGTTATGCTAAGTCAATGAAAACAAACCCGCAACAACATATTTCTGGAGAGCAAATGTACAGCAAAATGAAAACAAAATTAGGTATAAAATTTGTCAATTGTCTAAACTGAAATCAAATTATGATTTCAGTTTGATGTTGATATCAAAACTTGATTTCAATTTGCTGTCATTTTGATGCTGTACTTTGCTCGGGTATCTACCAGGTGTGGAAGGACGCCTCCATGACAATCGATGCACGTCCGCAAATGGCACTCGATTGCCGAACAGAGACCGATGTTAAATAAAGGAATTAGCAATACACAGTACTTATTACATCTTCTCCGTGTGTTCATTAACCTCGTCCATAAGCATTCTCGAGAATTCAACTGAGCAACTATTGAAAAACCAATTTTCATTTAATTTTCATTCAGCAGCGCCGGGTGGGGCAGTATGAGCGCAAGTAAATCCAAGGCCGATAGTAATGGGGTGCTTACATTTGTGCGGATTTGCTAGCGCTAGTGTACTAGCCAACTAACACACGAATTTCAGTTGCTCCTGAAATCTTATGCTGGTAGACGCTGATGCCCTGTTTACATTATTCTGGTGAGCTTTTTACTAGCAGCTAGCTCATTAGCGCTAGTGAAATAGCATAAGTTAGTGTAAACACTACATAAAGGAGGGACAATGGCTGACTCGACACATGATCGCCATGGGAAGGGATAAAGGCCCAAACACAATGTGGGCGGAAGCGGAAAGCAAACAGAAAGTTTAACAGTTGTTGCAAATGACATCAAGATGCCTACTCGAAGTCGATTTGGTTCTAACTAGTTTTCAATTCGACAAGTAGGCTTACTCAGTTCGGGCTTTTCCGCTACCGCTGCCGTTCCGCTTCCGATGTCATTGCACTAGGGCCTTAAGGATTAGATTGAGGTAGGTGGTATACTCACCCGATATTTTTGAAATACTCGACGTTTTGAAAGAAACATTGCCATTTTCAGACTTCGTGCTGATAGTTTTCTTGAAGATGCTTGATTCGTCTTTCGCTTCGTATTTCTACGAATTAGCTCTGTAAATAGATAAAAAAAACAACACTTCTCGCCCAAAAGCTCTAGACCGAGTGCAGAATCTTAGTGATGATAGTTTCCAAACGTGCATCCGTCAAAAGTCAACTGTTACGAACACCACCAACAAGCAGCGAAGAAGGAGAGCATCAATAGGCTACAACATCCGAGGGGAGCGACACATCTAAATCTCAATTTTAGATGCTCAAAAAATCTCACAAGAGCGAATCAATCTTCGAAAAATCTTCTTGCATTTCTCGCATATATTTGCATCGAGCATCATCTTTTTGCAGGAAATCTTCAGAATCGTCATCAATCTTCTTTCTATCTACTCAGCGTGCAAGCAGCTAGCCACAGCACAACACAATCTTTCCTGCAGCGTAGATAGAGTCGTCCCCCTCGACAACATCCACCAATCAGCGACGACCACATCAACGCTCGCCGCTTTAAAAGAGGCATGCATCACCGTGCAAAACAACCAGATTCTCTGCTTGATCGTCAAGCAGTACAGTTCGGTGTTAGCTCGCTCTCTCGAGTTGTTTGAAAAGTTCGTGGCGATAGTGTTCGTGCTCTCTCTTTCGCGGTTTGTCGTGCGTGTGTGTGTGCCACGTAATGGGGAAGCATCGATCGCGAAGCCCGACGAAGTTCCAGAACCCCGGTGAAGGACGCTCCGGTGTGCCTACCTCGAACAGGTTTGCTGTTCTCCCCATGGATGAGAATATCCAGCCAGCTGTGTTGGAAAAACGCAGCAAGAAGAGGAAGAAGAATCGCGATGTGACTCAGTGCCAGCGGTGTCTGAACTTCGGACACGGTACCCGCAACTGCAACATTAAGCCACGCTGCGGAAATTGCGCTCAAGACCATGCCGCCTCCGAATGTGCTGCGGATGAAGCTGTGGCGTCCAAATGCGCCAACTGTGGTGGTGCTCACCAAGGATCCAACAAGCAGTGCTCTAAACACGAGGATTTCAAGCGCATCCGAAATCAAGCGTCCACCAACAATCAACCAGCACGAAGGAAGGATAAGGCCCCGGCTTTCAGGACGGAGGACTTTCCGTCTCTTCATGGACAAGCGAATCCAAGGGTGCGATCCGCGCCCCCTCAAGAAACGTCTGGATCTTCTGCCGGACAAAGCTCTCCATCCCCCCAACCAACCAACCAACAGCTCAAATAAATAATCCCGATCTGTTCTCAGCAGATGAACTGATCGAGGGGGGCGACACTTCTAAATCTTAATTCTAGATGCTCCAAAAATCTCACTAGCGAATAAATCTTCGAAAAATCTTTTTTCATATCTCGCATCTACTAGCATCGCGCATCATCTTTTTGCAGGAAATATTCAAAATCGTGATAAATCTTCTTTCTATCTACTCAGCGTACGTGCAGCTAGCCACAGCAAAACACAATATTCACTGCATCGTAGATAGAGTCGTCCCCCTCGGAACTGATGGAGATTTTTATCAACATGACCGGTGCTCTACGTAAGTGCCGCAATTAGCCCGAACAGATCCAAGTGCTCGGTAAGTTCATCATCCAATATGGTGTCTAAACCGCTAACCATCGCTACTTGGAACGCTTGCTCTGTAAAAGCAAAACAGATTGAGCTTGCCGACTTCCTCCGCAAGCACAGCATCGACGTGGGCCTACTAACCGAGACCCACCCAACAAACAATCTGAAGTCACAAATAAGCATACACATTGAATAAATGCTGTATAACAGTGTACAATGCTGAATAAAACAGGATGTCGAATTATGTGCTGAAAAAAGCTCATTGAGATCGATAGATGCGGTTTTATACCGCCGTTTACTCTGATATGATTAATTTCCTTATTAAAAGCTTTATAAACGTTGACTGTCTTCCTTATTCAGAACCAGAAGTTTGATCTAATAACAAACTGAACAAGTGTTATTTGCACATACATTGTCGCTTTTATTCGACTGTTTTCAAATGATTGAATAAAATGCTTCATTAAACGTCTTATAAATGTTTTCTAGCTCCATTATTAGATTTCATTGCATTGCTTTACAATATTGCTGTATAAAGGTGAATACACTCAGCAAAATAGCTCTTATGCCACCCAACAAACAATTCAAAGTCACAAATAAGCATATATATTGAATAAATGCTGTATAACAGTGTACAATGCTGAATAAAAATAGTTGTCGAATTATGTGCTGAAAAAGCTCATTGTTCCACTATTTGCTTTGATCTGATTAATTTACTTATTAAAAGCTGTAAAAGTGTTAAATGTCTTCCCAATTCAACGCCAGAAGTTCGATCTAATAACAAACTGAATAAGTGTAATTTGTGCATACATTGACACTTTAATTCGACTGTTTTCAATTGATTTAATAACATGCTTTATTAGACGTCTAATAAATGTTCTCCAGCCCCTTTATTAGATTTCATTGCATTACTTTAAAATATTGCTGAATAAAGGTGAATACAGTCAGCATATAGCTCTTACACCACTATGCGTCCATGTTGTAATCACATGATTTGTAAATGCTTTATAAACGACGTATTAGATTCATTATTCGACAACACTGATTCAGTCTTACAACAAGGCGAAATCAGTAGAGTAGTGGTTACCGTTTCCGCTTTCCAATTAGAAGGTCGTGAGTTCAATCCCAAGCTCAACCCTTTTTTTATTTGTGTAGAACATAATTAATTTAAATAGTAATCATCGATCACATGACTCACGATAATGAATGCATTGATCTAGTTTGAAATATAACCGAGCATCCTTTCTTTCGACTTGGAGATGTGAAGAGGCAACATTGGTCTCATTTAAAACAACGATGAATGAATTAATCGTTCCCACAGAGCCTTGAAGGAGCTAGAGTTGCGATCGGGAGTGCTGATAGGTATTTACTTTCATGCAAGCTTTTATAAATTATTGAGTTGCCCATATGATGAATTCTAGGATAGCTCAGATGACAAGGCAAGCGGCTGGTGATCGGAAGGTACATAGTTCGATTCCCATACAACGGCATGTATGAGTATTTAATAAATTTTCTCATATCTGTGTGGTGCGAGCCACGTCAGAAATATTGAAAATACAATACACTTAAGGAAGAAACACACACACCCTTCCCCTGTCCTCTTATTTTCGGGTTAATTTTCCCACAGTTGAATAATCGTTTAATAAATGTATAATAATGTCTAATTAAACGTTACTTCACATGAGAATCAAGCGTATACAGAGCACCACTGTTTTAAGGAAGCAGTGATGTCTAATAAACGCTGAATAATCAAAAAATTTATCGTATAAACTCTGTTACAACTCATATAAGTCGAATAAAAGTTTCTCGTCATACCTTATACAACACCAGTAGTTCAATGTTGTGGTTGAATAAATTCTCCAGATTTGTGTGAACAAAGCCTGAACAGAAGTTATTATTAAAAATAGTACAAGTACTATTAAGCATGCAGTTGAATAAAAAATGGCCAAGAAGTCGTATCTTCAATAGACGATTGAGGACTTGGAGACCTGGAAAAAAACGTGATATGGCCGATCTGAACAGGCAGATTGCTTCCAGAATGGACTCACTCCGAAATGAAAGTTTCGGGCGTGTTGTCCAGAATCTGGACGACCGCTCCGGACCATTCTGGAAGGTAGCCAAGGTCCTGAAAACTCATCCCAAATCCGTTCCACGTCTCAGAGTCGAAATTGATGACGGCCGGCTTTTAATCACCCCACAGGAGAAAGCAAATGCGATCGGCAAGCATGTCGCTTCATCGCATTTGCTTGGCTCGACTATCCAAAGTCCGCTCGATGATCAGGTTGCGCAATGCGTTCAAAACCTAGATGCCTCCCCTTGTGTCGTGCCTCCGGCGGATAAATAATACCAATCCGCAAACCCGGTAAGGATCCAACATTGCCTTCAAGCTACAGACCAATCAGCCTCCTTTCAGCGATGAGCAAATTGCTTGAGAAACTCATTCTCAATCGTTTGCTCAAGTTTGTCGAGGAAAATAACATTCTCCTTCCGGAACAGTTTGGGTTCAGAAAGGGTCACTCCACCAATCACCAGCTGATGCGGGTGATGAATAACAACCGAAGTAACAAAGCTGTATCCAAGTCCACAGCCATGGCCTTGTTAGACGTTGAAAAGGCGTTTGACAATGTTTGGCACAATGGGCTTGTATACAAGCTTTGTAACTTCAACTTTCCATTACATCTGGTTAAAATCACCCGTAGCTACCTCCAGCAAAGGTCGTTTAAAGTATCGTTGAATGGTTGTCTTTCCGACACGTTTTTCATCCCAGCAGGAGTCCCGCAAGGCAGTCTGCTGGGCCCCTTGCTATACAGCATTTACACTTCCGACATTCCTCCCCTTGGAGACGATTGCGTGTTTTTCCTGTTCGCAGATGATACCGCATTAGCCGACAAAGGAAGGATGCCTCGCGAAATAACGAACAAACTTCAACGATGCCTTAACGCCTTTGCTGATTATGCCACCACGTGGAAAATCAAAATCCAGGCCTCCAAAACTCAAGCAATCATGTTCCTCCATGGGCAATCGCCGAAACTGAAACCGGCTCCATCTTGTACTGTAATCATGGATGGCACAAGGGTTGAGTGGTCTGCCGAAGTAACCTATCTCGGAATGTTGTTCGATAAAAAGCTCCTCTTCCGTTCGCATGAAGAGAAAACTGTAGTCAAGTGTTCTGGCTTGGTTAGGTGTCTGTATCCGCTGATTTGCCGCAGATCCCGCCTCTCATGGGTGAACAAACTGGCTGTCTACAAACAAATCATAGCACATCCTCTACGCAGCTCCGGTGTGGGAATCATGTGCACAGACTCACAGGAACAAAATCCAGGTCGCTCAGAATAGAGTGTTGATGATGGTTCTTGATCGTCCTTTCGACACTTGAATAACAAATTTACACGAAGAGCCAGGCATTGCTAAAATAGATTCCAAAATTAACGAAATTAGCACTAAATTTACACAAAAATGTATTTTATCAGAACATGCTTTGATAAGCAATTTGTATATAGTAGATTAGGTGCATATAGTAGTTGTAGGTTAATTGTAGTTGTAAATAGTAGTTATAAGTAGTCTCCTTTTACAAATTTAAAACAAACCAATCCCACCAAGGTGGTCATTCTTAAAACAGGCCTGATAGAACTAGGAACTGTAATTAATAATAATTGAAATATCAAAAGAACTAAAGTTGAAAAGACGCATCTGTGTGACTTGATAAGTAATACATGTAAACCACACAAATACAAGAAATAAAGAAAAACAAGAGTTCTTTTCCGACCAAGCACCAGCAAACATCAGCAGCATTAGAAGCAGAATTTGTAGAGAGAAAGAAGAGAGAATAAACAGTTGTTAGCGTAGCCGTCCCGTTCAAGTTTATTGCTGCACACATCCCTGCTTTGGAGCAGCGTCCAACCCCCAGCTCTTTTCAGAGCCCTTACGAGTTGATTTCCGATCGACGCTTGCTTCCTCCACCACCCTGCCCATACAGTCCACTAACAAAGGAGAAAGTTCCCTCCCAGTCCGAACAGTGCATACCATAGAACTAAATCAAATTCAATAAAGGTTTGATTAAAAAACAGATGGTTTCTACTGTGACTAAATCCAGCATTCCTACTAAAAAATCAAATGATGTGCCTAATCATTTATTATTAGTTCAGGGCAAAAAAATACAGTCTGTTACTATGCTTTTACAAGCGGGTTCAAATGCACTTTTGGTAAGCATCAACACTGATCTGGTAACATTAGTGTGCATCTTTAAACTATTGAAGAGGCAATTTACTTTTGATTTAATTTAATTCTTTTTACTTTACAAATACTGCACCAATCGATTTTGAAGCACCAAGTGGTTGGAGTTATCCCACTAAAGTCTGTTTTATTCAACACCTAATAACATGTCTATCAAAATACATTCCGAACCCCACCCCGTTCTAACTTCGCCCGCCACCGTCTCCACCGCCGTCATCCGTCCAGCTGCATCCGGAGAAACTCCTCCACGAACGATGCCTCACCAAAGTCCTGGTCGACCATCAACTCCTCGACCAACCGATCGGAAATGCGCGATACCGTCTGCCAAGGCTCCTCGAAATGGTCATTCAAATAGACTGGATTTTCCGCCATCCGTCGAAGGGTGCGCATCCGATCGCGACACACTTGCTTCTTGAGCTGGCCGTACAACTCCTGTCGGCGCTGTTGGCGTTGCTTCTGGGCCACCTCTTCGGCCAGATTGATGTGCGATTGGACTTCGGGAATGCTGCCCGGTTTCGCTGCCACAGGAGCGACCCGTTCCTCATCCGGAGGTGAAACGATTTCCAGATACTGCATATTACGCGAGTAGTTGACTTTCTGCTGCCGCGGCCCAAGTGGCTGGGTGCTAGAAGAGAAGAAACAAATATTCGTCTCATTAATTACTAAAAGACCCATTTACATTCGTTATTCCATTTTGGCAGATGTCGAAAGCAATGCGGGCAAGAGAAATGGATCTTCGTCCGGCCTTATTGGCTACGAGGAATTTCCTACTGTAATTAATAGCGAGATGTGCTTAGGGCTGACAAATTTGCGATGAATCCGTTTGAATTTGTTTTTCCATGCACCAGTCCTCTCTGTTAGCTACCTACATAAGTATAGCGTTAACAACGTGGTTGCATCAATTACGTATTTCTTATTAATAGAATGTGGTCGGCGAATAGATTCTTTTTTAATTTTGGGATATTAACGTGAAGCAAAAGCTACCACTATAGCTAATGAACCAACCTACGGAGACGGAGGTTCTTTACACTTCAAGAGCAGATCGTGTAAACTATCATGCGTCTACATTGATGAGCGTTTTAGTAAAATAATTGTATGCCTTATTACGTTGTTTTCCTTTTAATAATTGCACGTATGTCTCATATGGGTTTTCGTCAATATTGAGACAACAATGCTTCCCCATTATCAATTGGCATCTACTTTCATAGGGGAAATGGATGTAATGTCGGCCTAAATGCCCCTAATTTGGGCTCATACATAAATTTAGTAATCGACTAAATTTTCAATAGCGACCAAAAATATACATTAGTACCATCCCAATGCCGAGTTCATCTAGATAAAATTGATAAATAGCAGATTTTTAGCGATGGGCCCATCTTAGATCCATAGGCCAACATTAGAGCCATTTCCCCTACTATGTGATAAAACTACGAACTCTGATCATCATAAATGTGAAAACAACATCCACTGAAAATGTAGTTTCGTTATTTCTCTGAAAACCATATCGTAAAAATGAATATCTTTCATAAAACACATCTTTCATAAATGTTCCGAAACATTCACTCTGAAAAATCGTCACGTCCGATTTACGTGAAAATATAGGTGGTTTTCGTCCACCTTATTTTTCACGTAATTTTTACCGAAATTGCACGTAGCCGACCAAAACTCAGCTTCGATTATCTACGTAATTATTCAGTAGCTGATTTCCAAGTAATTATTAAGACCTGATTTTCACGTACTGCTTACGTGAAATCGAGGTAAAAACAACTGGAAAACTGGTAACTTTTACGTGATATTCCGTTTTGTTTAAAATGCCTTTCAGGTAGTTTTTACGTGAATTTTGAATGAGGATAATGGAACTTATATATAAACGCAGTCAATATTATGCAATTTCATCGAACAGATATAAATTCTACTTATTTAAATTGATACTTATATCTACTCATTAAATTGCAAATTATTGACTACTAAAAATGAATAGTATAGTTATAGTTAATGTTAATGAGATTTTTTTTATTTCTATTAGAATATTAATAACTGTTGCAGACTCAAAATACTGATGGCACCGTCTGAAATTATAAAACTAGAAAAAGGCTACATATAAAGGGTGTCCACGATGAAATTGCCACACACAAAATTGATTCGCAAAATTCGAGTTTTCATCCGATTGCCATCAAATTTTCAGGGATTGAGAAATAACTATTAAACTTCATTTTACCATTTTACTCGTATTTTATTTACAGTCCATACGCAAATGCCCGCACCTTGGCCTTAACCCCGGCCATAAGATTCTGCACAACCTGTGAATCAACCGTTTTTTGCATGTAAACCCATACTTTCTTCAGTTCCTCGACTGTCTTCACTACCTTAGGTCGTTTAAGAAGGTGCTGCTTCATAATTGTCCAGTACTTCTCGATGGGGCGGAGCTCCGGAGTGTTGGGAGGGTTGAACATTTTCGGCACGAAATTGACCTTATTGTCCGCATACCACTTCAGCACGTCCTTGGAGTAGTGGCATGAGGCCAAATCCGGCCAGAAGATTGTTGGGACGTTGTGGGCCTTCAGGAGAGGAAGCAGCCGCTTCTGGAGGCACTCTTTTATGTACACCTGTCCGTTCATCGTGTCCTGGGTCACGAAAGGTGCACTCCGCTTCCCGTACGTGCAGATGGCTTGCCAAACCAGGAATTTCTTCGCAAATTTGGACATCTTCTGAGTGCGGACATGCTCCGGAACGCTGAACTTATCCTTGGCCGTGAAAAACAGGTTGCCGGGGATCTGTTTGAAGTCGGCCTTCACATATGTTTCGTCGTCCATGATGCAGCATTCAACTTTCGTCAGCATGTTGAGGTACAACTTCCTGGCACGGGTTTTGGCGGACTTGTTCTGCTTCTCGTCGCGATTAGGGGCCTTTTGTACCTTGAACGTTCGAAGCCCAGCCTTAGTTTTGGCCTTCTGGACAAAACTTCGGCTTAGGTGCAGCTTCTTATCCACATCCCTAACGGAGTCGTTCGGATTTCGGTTGAAGGCCCCAACTACGCGGTTGTGATTTTTGGTGTTGTAATGAATACTTTTTCCTTCACTTCTGGGCTTCCGATCGGTGGTCAACCGTTCCTCGAACCGCTTAATCACTCGCGACACCGTGGAATTCGCGATTCCCAACGTTTTAGCGATGGAACGATGCGAGAGATCCTTGTTCTCGTGATGAATGCGCAAGATTTTATCACGCACGAGCTGTTCTTTCGACTCCATTTCCGCGAGTTTTGATCACAGGACTTTAAAACTTGCAGGATGTAAATAATGCACTATGAACTAAATCCACCCAAATTTTCATTAAATTCTACCCAACGGTTAAAAAGTTAGAGCAATTTCATAGTGTGGCAATTTCATCGTGGACACCCTTTAATCATAAATAAATTAATGTAAATGAATCAAATTACCGTCCAATATTTGTAGCAAGCTGCTGGGAAATTTTGAATTTTTGAGCTGTTCTTCCACCACGCTTGGTGACGCCATATTGACTTTTTTTGCGTACCTGAAAATCACGTAAATCTCGTTTCGCGGGAATATCGAATCCCCAAACACACAAACACAAATACAGTAAACCTATTTACGTGAATATACGGTCGATTTCACCAACATTTTTAGTGGACATGACGTGTAATGAAGATCAAAGTTACTAACGTCACGAAACATTTGAAATTTCCTAAATACAGATCAGTTACTTGATATTTCACGTAAATCGGACGTGAGGATTTTTTAGAGTGTTCGTTTTTCCTGTCATCTGGTGCAATGCTAGTAGGGTAGAGAACTACTTCGGCCTAATCGCCCATTTTGGGTCTATTGAGCAGAAAACTTCGAATAAATCCATGATTTCAGAGTTCGTCAATTCAATTATGCGTTTGGTACGATACTTTAGTTAATAAGCTACGGAACGAAGTCAATGAGAACACGTGATATGAAGGTTTGCACCCATTATTCCCAAAAACAAAAGAAGCGCTCCGACCGAATCAATTTTTTTCTTCATCCGATAGGCCGAAGTGAATTCATTGGCGTTTCAATGGCGTTGCAATGCGTTAGGCCTAGTTTAGAATCCGTAGGCCGAGTTTGGCGTCAAGAAGCAGTGTTAGACTTTTGACAATATCTCAACGATTGGTTTCTCTTTATCAAATCTCACGGTACATACGGAGAGGTAAATAAATTTGGAAGCCATCAGTAATAATAACATTCCGTTTTGTGCTAAACTACGCTTGATTAAGAAAGACTAAGTGCGGGTTGTACTTAATAGGCCGGAAATGGAGTAGTTAATGTTGTGATCTCAATCTAAGTAATCCACGAGTTCGTAGTAACCACTGTTAGTTTGTTAGTCAAATAAAACTTTCATTCGTTTCCAAGCATTTCCAAGCGTTTCCAAGCATCCAAGATCAGGGCCCAGAACACTGGACATAGCACAAGTTCAAGTTGAAGAAAAGTAGATCCGGAGCTCCCACCATGTTAAGAAGCCCAATACCGGAAGATCGGAACCATGGCGGAGGCAGTTCAAGCGAAGGTGCAGGATCGACAACGCAGAGGACCCATACTGTTGGAGACGGTGTGCGTGCTAGCGGAAATGTGCGATCATTTGGCAATTCCATGAATGTTCCGGCCATTGAGAAGCTGAAGGGACGGCAGAATTACACATCGTGGGCGTTTCTCATGAAGATGAAGCTGATTAGAGAAGGCACCTGGAAAGCGGTCAAACCTGCGGAGGGACAGGAACCTGATCCGGAGCTGAGCGATCGAGCGCTGGCTAGAATTTGTCTGAGTGTCGAGAGGAACATTTTTAGTATCGTGTAAAAGGCTACTATTTACAGCATCGGATGCGTGGAGCAAGCTGCAGAAATCGTTTCAAGACAACGGGCTGATCCAAAGATTCGGTTTGCTGGACAAGCTGACCGTAGTGAAATTAGAAAATTGTAGCTGTGTTGAGGACTACGTTGACGAGCTTGTGTCCATCACGAATGATTTGAGCGAGATCGGATTCGAGGTGAACAATCAATGGTTGGCGTCACTGTTGCTAAAAGGACTGCCGAAATACTACAACCCAATGATCATGGCTTTGCAATTATCGGGAATCGAGTTGAACGTGGATCTCGTTAAGGCAAAAGTACTTCAAGATGTGCAGTGGCCGCTGGACTGTTCTGGCGAAGGAGCATTCTATTCGAAGCAGAAGTCGCGGCGTCCGAAGAGTGGAGCAGATAAGAAGGAAGGTACGTGCTTCAATTGTAACAAACCTGGGCATTACGCGGCCAAGTGTCCCCAGAAACAAAGTTCATCAAAGTCAAGAGGGAAGGCTCTGTGCGCTACGCTGGCGGTTGGTCGTGGAGAAGAAGAAGACTGGTACTTTGACTCCGGAGCCACTCCGCATATGACGAGGACGATGAAGAATTTTGTGAAGCAGGAAACTTTTGTACACTCTATCGAAACGGCAAACAACCAAAGCGTGAAATCAACATCGAAAAGTCTGGTGAAGCTGGAGTTGCAAGAAGGTTCAATCGAAGTTCAGGATGTATTGCAAGTTCCGGATTTGGCAACCGACCTTTTATCGGTGAGCCGAATATGTAAGAAAGGGCTGAGTGTAATTTTCACG